TTTTTACCAGTAAACCTAAAGGACAGAAAGCCCACTGCTGAGAGGGTTCTGTCATCTTTGGACACATGACCGTAGGTTCAGAAGAGACCTAGTCAAAGTCTTGACGGACAACAGCCAGTCGTTGGGGGTTGATTACTTTTTTTCACACAGAACCGGGCTGGTTTGAACGGCTCATCTCTGCTCTCAGAGCCCCTACATGTCATCTGCAGGTGTCAGGACTTCAATCAACGTAAAGGCGAGGAAGTCGCAGGGTTGCAAATGAGATCCTACACACAACTGTTGACTCTCCTCCAATCTCATTAAGATGTGTTTAAGGACCTCTAATGGAAATTGATCAGTCATTAGGATCATCGTGGGTTAATCCAATTAATCAATGGCAGCTGATTGAGGACGGTGGCAGAGCAGAACCATCCCAGCTCCGGGTTGGACCCGACACTCCGTCACCGGTGGCTCGGCCGTCAGCTGAAGCTACGGAGGATTTCTTCTACACACGTGTCAGACTCCAGGTCTGCATGGGAAATGAAAAGATTCAGCTTCATCCCAAAACGAACTTCTGAACAGGACGCTGATTCTAATCTCATATTAGAGGATAAAAGCTTTGGATTATTTCACTTTGTCTTCATTCCAAATATCTACTTTGATTTTCCTCTTGGGTAGAAAAATGTGTATCTTTTTTAAAAACCACACTTTCCTCCACATTCGCCCGCTGATGGAGCCATCAAGTTAAATATTTTGCTCTGCAGCAGGGAGCCGGCCCGCAGCGCTACTGGGCGATTGGCTGAATGATCCCGTCAGTCCGGGTCAGGGCTTGTGGTGTGAGAGGGTGGAGCTAGAGGCTGCGGGTCAGCAGAGCAGCAGCCCAGGGCTGGTTTCTAACAGTCCGCACGGGAGAGAGAGAGAGAGAGGACAAAAATATAGAACTGTTCACCATGGAAGGCCAAGTGTTTTCCGAGTTAGAGCAGGTTGAGTTTATAGGGTGGAGAAGATCACCTTCCAATAGTTTAACACAGCATGTTGAAGAAAGAAAAGATTTATAGTAAAAAAAAGAGAGAAAATGTCACCATTATTGGCCATAAGACATAGTTTTATGTTTAACTATTCAAAAGCCATGAGATATTTGCATAAACTTAAGTCGGTTGTATTATCTCAAAAGAATCAGGTGATCGTCCATCTCTCATCGATCATCCATACCAGTAGGTGGCAGTAACGCACACCTTCAGTTTTCTTGCTAACCGCCAAAAAAACACCAAAAGAAGAAGAAGTAGAAGATTAACTCTCTCAATACCTGTTTATATTTATATTCCACTTAATCTACATCGTCTCCCAGGCAACCATGAGGAAATGATAAAAGTATCAGTGGTATCAAAGAGTTCATATTTTATCACATGCATTCGTATCTGAAAGATGAGCTCCGTGACAATGGAATTGATGAACCAACCAACCAACCAACCAACCAACCAACCAACCAACCAGCCAGCCAGCCAGCCAGCCAGCCAACCAACCAACCAACCATTGAGATTAATTAACCAATTGATCATCCATCCATTCGAACATCTGTCCCGATGTAACAACATTTATCAACTGTTGAGACGTCAAACCGACAAGCAATGAACAAAACCAATCAACCAGCAAACCTTTTAATTTAACCGCTGGAGTAAAGCTTGATTAATTGATCAACCAGCCAACCATTCATACATCTAATACAACACCTAGAAAATCAACTGGTTAAATAGCCAATCAAGCAAGAAGCAAATGAACCAATCGACTAACAAAGTGAGAACCTGAACAATTTGCCCTGTTAATGTGGCAGGACTTTCATCCAGCAGCAGGTTCAGTGGTTTCTGCAAGCTTAAAGTTTAGAAACCGTCTCTAACAATCTTAAATTTAGCTTGAGTGTGACAAAAAGTCAAGACAGGCCCATGTAAAAACCAGATGCTCCGAGCAAAGCAGCAGGAATGGAGGAGACGACGAAGACGAGGCCACGAAGCTGAACATGGACAATAAGGACGGACAGAAAAACCCTGAGGGACACCATGGCACAAAGGAGTCAGTGTGAGAAATCTGAACTCAGCTGATACAATAAAAATCCATCTATTCCATAAGACGTTTCCTTACACGTTTATTACGTTGAGTGAAGTTTTATGTAAGCTAACATTAAACAGCATCGAATGTTTTCCGTTTCTCTGTAATCAACCAAAAAAAGAGTAAAAAGACAATCTTTAATGAATCAGTATGGATTTTTGATGCAGAAGGAAATTAATTGGGGACTCAGGAAAGGGGACAGAAAAGGTCAGACGAAGGAATGCCGGGGGTAAAACCCCCCCGACGATGTGGACGACTCGCGTATCGCCATGACCTTTTTGAGAGTGAAAATCGCCGGCATGTTAAGTTCGTCGAACGTTTCACCAGTAAACAGGCGCGGCTGAAATATGTAAAGCGGCGAGACCAGACATCTAGACTTGATTGAATAAAAACGCTGAAAGTACTCCAGGTGAGGCGAAGTGAGCAGACGATAATTGAGCAACCTTTTGCGCCAAACGCGCGCCACACAAGTGCTTTTTTTTTTTTTTCTGTCTCCCCCTGTTTTCTCCCCCCCACTTAACCCTGCCTCTCCACAAATGTTTAAAGGGCTTCATTCTGCTAAATTGTGCTTTAAAAAAGGGCAAACTGCACTCATCCTCGCTGCCGGTGAAGTAGAGAAGCAACCAAAAATAACAAAAAAAAAATAAAAAAAAAGCCCAAGAACAGGTGAGTGACAGCGTGGCCCCTGCTTGCTCAGGCACTCCACTGAATTATTTAGCTCCTGCATAAACATTTTCCTCCTGCCACCGGGAAGGAAAGGGCCTCCTCTTCCTGAGTTATGACAGTAAACCAGGTTCGGCGGCGGGCCTCTTCAGAAATAATAGGCCTTTAAGGGCTGGAGTTAAAGCGGAGGAGAGATTCTCCCTGACAACTCGCGCGGCGGCGGGCGCCGCGCTCCGCAACCCGAAGCGCCCGAGGGGTCTCGGGGTAGTAATGAAGGACCGTTCTGCTTACTTCATAAACTTGTCACATCTCCTTTCCCATTTTATTTCCTGAACAAACCTGATTACCCCCCACAAACCCCTCCCTCTCTCACCCAACACTTCCACGGTGCGGGTCAGTTAATAAATATATCAGTTTGCCGTCCCTTTAAAAAAAAAAAAAATGCTGCAGTATTAAAAATAAAAAAGGCGGCGCGGGGATAAAATATGGATGAGGTTGCCGCGGTGCTCCAGGTGTGTCGAGTGTGATTTAATATGAAGGACAGGCCGCACGGCGAGGGAGGGGAGACTACTGGCGAGAGCGCGGGCCGACAGCCTGACCTCTGACCTCCGAAGAGCAGCCAGTGGGCTCGCCGACAGAGCCCGACCAATTAGCAGCCAGACGACGGAGCCTCACCAACCAATCAGCCTCGATGTGGGACAGCAGAGAAAATATTTCGGTTGATTTCCTTTAATTGAATTACAGTTAAACAATCAGTAAAGAAAAATGGCCAGCAACCAATCAGAAAGCTAATCCACCATCCAACGAATAAACTAGCCAATCAAATCCTCTAACTAGTCAAGAAATCAACAATACCAACAATTTAACAGCTATTATTAATTTGACTGAATAACTGGACAATGTCTCTGAGGCCATAAGCTGTCGGTTGATTGATTGGTTTATTGGTTAATTGAATGGCTATTAATGGGGCTTCATGTTGATTGGTTACGGAGCTGATTTAGGCGTGGCTGATTGGCTTACAGGTTGATCGGCTCATTGGTTACTGTGCAGGTCGGTCATTGATCTGATCTGGTGCAACAAAATGAACTAATTGCTCCTCTCGTTGATTTGGGAGATTATTGACTAATCGGTCAAACCGGACCGCCGTTATCGAAAACAGCTGCTCTCTTAACGTACTCTGGTTCATTTGCTTGTGATTTATGAAGGTTTTAATTTATCCAAGTTTTCTATGTCTTTCTCTCTCTGGACCCCCAGGACAGGAAATGGCCTTTCTGTGGTTTAGTGGATGGAGGTTTATGGGCCGTGAAGGCAGCAGAATCGCCCCCTGAACCTCCTGATGCCGTTCACATTGCTGGCTAATGGTTATACAGCAACTCTTGTTTTCCACCTTGTCTCCCATCCCTGACCTCAGAGCGCCACCCCGCCCCTCACCGTGCATCGCTTCTCCTGTTTTTGTGCAAAAGTGGCAGCACAGAAACTCCCTGTCAGAGCACAAACGGAGAGCCGGATCCAGTCGGCGGCGGGGTTTCCTCCGCCGCCCCCCGCGTGCCCTCCAAATCTGCTGAGCCCCGACAAAATAAAGAGGCAAACTCCTTCCTTCTCTTGAAAACTCAAAAGGAGGTGCTCTCCAGCGCGGCGACGCGACGTCTCGGCGCGCGGCAAGCGCCGCCTCCCCGCCAGCCTCGGCGAGCGGAGCAGTCGGGAGCTTCGCTCTCTCGACTGGAAACCTCATTTCCACCACAGAGGAAGGAGCCGGCTCTCCCACCTCCACCTCCCCACATTTGCATTTCTGCTTAACAAACAATCAGGCAGAAAGCCGGCGCTCCTCTCTCTCTCATTACCAGCAGACACGCGACTCAACTGCGACCAGGTGACGGTAGCCGAAGATTTGACTCGAGTAAGCGGAACCCTCCTTTAAAATATTTCCAGTCAAGTAGTTATTCAAGAAAAATAATAATGAAAAAAAGTATGTGGCGAAAAGTCTACTAGAGTACAGAGAAACTCATCAGATTATCAATCAAACTTCATATTTAAAAATGACATCATCAGAAGCAGCGAATTATAAAATGTTGGTTTTTTAAGCACCAAAATGGCAACAATTTTTTTTTTGATTTTTCAAAAAAAAAGAAAAACTTCAACAAAAACTGCCGGTGTGTTAGTGGGAAGAGCAGAGATGCTTCATCGTGAAATTACTCAGATAAAAATAAAAAGTACAGTGTTTTTTAAATAAAAAAAAGTTACATAATTAAATGTACCTGTGTGGAATTCCTTTTCCCGCTTAAAGGCTCCTGGTGACCCCTGGTTGCTGGCAGTGACCCGTCATGCCCACCTGGCTCTCCATGCGGCCCTCTGACCCTGCAGGAAGAGTGAATTGAGCATTGTTTAAAAACATCCTCAGAATTCAAAAAAGAGGACATAAAGATCATAATCTGTGCACAAAGAGGGAGGACAAGAATGTGTTTGGATGAACTTTTGTCATTCATCTGCATCAGATCCTCCCATCTGCTCTCGTTGTGACGTTTATTGCCAAAAGCCGTTGCTGCAACAGAAAAGTCAAGCGTCACCTGACACATTTATTGTGCCGATTTCACATCACCACCTCCTGCTGGTCAAAAACCGAAACTGAACGTTTGGGTTTTTCCACCATTTGCTGAAGTAAATGACAATAAATGCCCCCGCGATCATAAACCATGTTTTTACGGTCAAGTCAAAGTACTTTCTCCTTTGACTTGACCTTGACCTTCGGCTCGATCGATCTGCTCACCGTCTTCCTTCTACCTGTTAAAGACACCCCCCAACCCCTCTCCTCCCACAGCAGGATGCTGCCACCACCGTGCGGTCGCTGTGGGGATGAAGTGTTGCATTCGTTCTTTGGGGTGACCTCTTGCTGTGACGCATCACTTCCTGTCACAATAAAACATGTTGAAATGTTGCGTTGCGGTTCTGTAGTTGTGGGCGTAATATATTCAATCTGGATGGGAAGCAGCTGCTGCACAACACACACACACACACACACACACACACACACACACACACACACACACACACACACATAGAGTCTGCAGCTGGCTGGATGACACATTATGGATGTGTTAATTCATCCCCTCTAAGTTGGTGTATGGTGTCTGCTGCTGGCCGTTCATTAATAGTCCTGTTTTAATTAGCCATTAATGAACCCACTCCCCATGTCATAGATAGGACATAAAAAGTGTGTGTGTGTGTGTGTGCGTGTGTGTTTGCACGTGGACAGCTCCATTCTCCCTCAGTGGCTGCAGAACAATTGGGGGGCCGAGGGGCCCGCTGCTAACTTCTGCACTGCAAGACAATGGCAGCCAGGGCCCCCACCCAATGTGAAGCTCCACTGCCCCTATACACACACACACACACACACACACACACACACACACACACACACACACACACACACACACACACACATAATCTGAGCCCAGCTCTCCAGTCCATCGCCCCGCTTCCCTCCTGAAAGCAGCATGGCTGCATCTGATTGGCTGCGGCAGACGCCCGGCGCTGGTCAGAGTCCACGGCGACAGAGAAGGGATTAAATATAATTAGCATGAAGAGTGAAAACAAACAAACAAGGATAGGGGACGGGGGTCAGAGAGGCAATCCGTCCGTCTATCTTAATTAGCGTTGTTTACTCGGCGACACGTTCGGCTCCTGATTCCGCGTCGGGGACACGCGTCACTCCGTCCGCACCGCGGGGAACACGCACCGACGCCAAGCGACGGCCTGTGGAGGTTCGATTCATCAGATCTCAATCACCAATTAGACTCAGAGAAGAAAAAGGCAAAAAAAAAGTAAAATAAAAAAAATAAAAATAATCTTTTCATAACCTTCGGGGAAATAATCAACCCCCCCTGAATCAACTGGTCGGTTGAAGGCGATGGAGCCAAAAACTGGTGATAAATCTTCTACATCACTGTGGAAAACTTGGACTCTCGCTTCTTTACAGGATCATTTCAAGTCGACCACACTGGCGGGCGCTTTCAACCATCAGGAACGCAAAGGCAATACTTTGACTAGGCAAGTGGGAAAACTGGGAGTGATCATGTGAGAACATTTTCACACGTCTAACAGAAGTAAATGATTATCAAAGCATTGGAGAAAAAAAACAAATGATTTCCCTAAAATTTTAGCCAAATACGCCAAAAACACAGCGAGCTTTATAGCTAAATGTATTAAGCTAACTGATAGCTTAATGCAGCGTAACATCAAACGTTGACCATCTTGAAAAAAATGACAAATACAACCGTACTATAAACCTGTAAGGTGGACAGGGCTAGCTTAAAAAGCAGCTAACGCGAGCTTAGAAATGTAGCTAAGTGAAGATTAACATGTTTGTAATAGTAGATTTGTTTTTATATTGCAATTTATTGAATGTGTTGGCTTTTACCTTCTATGCTACATTGAGAAAATCTCTATTTTTGCAGCACAGAAAGGCTGCGACGATTTGACTCCAGGATCCCATTTGATGAAATTCTTGAAAAACTGAAAAATTCAGCGAAGATTTGGAATCCAGGTTTATATATATATAAACATCTCCTGTGATTTGACTCTACTGGAAACTATAAATCCTAGATTTCTTGGTAAGCACTTTTTTATTTATCTATTTTTTTAATTCCAGTTCAAAAGTGAAGAAAACTTTTTATGAAAGTTTGCCTCAACTGGCGGAGCCAGTTGAGGCAAACACGTCTCCGCGTCCCGTTCGCAGGGAGTTTTCCCACCGACTATTGATCTGCACATGTATAAATATTTGTGATGAGATGATTGATGATGGGATTCTTAAATCTCTTTGGCGCTGCAGAAAAAAAATATAAATAAATAAATAAATTGCATTTGCCTCCAAGTTGTCTTCCCATCCCGATGCTGAGCACCGGGCCCCGGGGGGACTCATAGCTGCAGTGGGGGGAAGGAGTGGGTCAGTGAAAACTGGGCCGAATCAGAGTGATTAAGGATCTGCAAATCAATAACTGCTTTATATTAGATTTACTTACCGTCCTCGGAGCGCGGCGAGTCAGCAGAAAGATGCGGAGGGGAGGAGGGGGGGTGGGATGGAGCCAGATCCCGCTAAGCGTCGGCAGATTGGGTGCTGGTAGAAATCGTTAGGCTCACATCAAGTCTTCCAGGCGTGATAAGATAATATAATCATCTCTGAACGAAGCAAAGGGGGCGAGGGCGGCCCTTTTGTTTCTGCTGATCTCAGAACTTCTTCCGTTTTGTGGACGTCGAAGCTGCGAGAGAGGAAAACAAAACAAAACAAAAAAAAACACAAATAAAAAATGAACTCGAACCACGTCAGGGATCAGATATGATGGATGGGAGATGATGCGACGGGGATTTTGTTTTCAATAAGTCCCGGGGATTAGCGAACGAAATGACCAAATACAAACGGATCGGACTAAAAATGGGATTCTTGTAGAAATAAATGATTAAAAATAAAGAAGTAATCTCTGGTATTTATAGAGCGACAACTAGAGCTCAGTTAAGAAAGAGTGACAAAAACATTGTGATGGATAACGCAACGATAATAGATAGAAAACAGTGCAACAAGAACGACTAAAGTGCTAAAATAAAGCAACAATAAATCAGTTTATTAAGTGACAAAGTCACAATTTCATCATAAACCTCTATAAATTTAATTATAGAAAGTAAAGTAGCAAAACTCCTGATATTCAAACTATAACATTTCAAAAGCAAAACTGTTTTCAACTCATCTGCATGTCGTAACTCAACATAAGCTTGAAGAAAAATTCCCCTTTTGTAAAATATTTTTTTTATGTCTTCTGCTAAAAAAAAATGCAGAATGAGGTTTAAAAGTTGAGAGGAAGGAAAAAAAAAAGTGTTCGGAGAAGCCGGTGTGACCGCTGCCTTGGAATCAGAAAGCTGCGTCTGAGCACATGCGCGGAAAGTTTGCTGGAAGGAAAAGGTGTCACTGGGAAATGGTGCTGATAGCATCATTCCAGAAAGTTTAGTGGAAGGAAGAAAAAAAAAATTAAATGCGGAAAAGAGCATCAGAGATCGCCTCCAATTCAGGAGTTTGGAGGAGACGTATTGGGCGAGTTGCATCCGTGGGTGTCCATGGAAGGTTTTGTGGAAGGAAAAACAAAAGCACACCCAAGAGCAGCTGATTCATCTACAGCCTGAGTCGGCGCTTCCTCAACATGCCATGCGATATCGATGTGTCATATTTATGTAGCTGAATATTTAACATCTTCCTGATGACATCCCACTGTTGGAGATCCACCTGCAGTCAGGAAATTAACTCATCTCTGGGGACAATTGGCCGCTCTCTCCTTGAACACACACCGCTGCCATTACCGCTCGTCTCCATGGCGACACCATGCGCACCCTCCCACCCTTTCCCCCACCACCACTGTTCATCTCACAGTGAATCTAAATAGCTGAGCGCCGTTAACCCGCTCACCTCTTCTTTAGCTGACTGTGGGTTACAGGGGTGGAGGGGGGATGTTTGTTAGCACACAGCAGAGCTGGGGTCATCCTGCAGGGCGGCGGGGGTCATCCAGGGGACTTGCGTCCATGGAGCTGTCCTCAGGTCGTCTCCGGCGTGGAGTTGTGGGGCCGCGGTGCGCTTCGCGCCTCTGATTGGAATCAATCAATGAACCGCCAGAACCCGGCCGACTTGGTTAAATGGTTATTGTTGGGAGCCATTACCCCCACAATCGGTCCGCTTAATGCGAGAAAATGACATTCATTAAACGGCTCCGCGGGGAGGCCCCCCGGGGGCCCGGCTGCAGCTGACCCTCATTCACCACCCAGTGAGTGGGGTGTGAGGAGGACGAGGGCGGGGGGATCGTGTCAAAGGCTCGCCTCCCCCCTGCGCCCCCCGTCCGCCACGTCCTTTACAAGCATCTGTGTGTCTCACAAAGTACCTGAGACGGAGAATGATCCGGAAAACTGGGATGATGACATCATCAGAGAGAGAGAGAGAGAGAGAGAGACGGAGGCCCAATAATGAGTCACACTGCACACACACTCTGATAATGTATATGAAACACTCCCCCCACTAGAGAGAGCGAGGTGGAGCAGTCGCTGCATCATCAGATGCCGAGTCCCTGGGAGAGAATATTTCTGCGGCGCCTGTCCGCCAACGCAGAGCCTCCTTCCTTTGTCTGGTTGTTATTCGCAGTGAGGAGCGCTGGGACAGCAGCAGGTCGGAGGGCCACCGTGGCCCTGATTATTTCTGTCCACACCGCATCAGGACCACGCAGCGGGGCATCCGCCGTCACTGCGGAAGGGAGACCCTTCAGCATCTTCCATGTCTGAAATATGAGAATTTAGTTGAAGTTGGATTTTTGACTTTCCTGGAAGTCGAAGGTGCATCTACTTACTGGAAGGGGGGTGACTATTTATTTTTGACAGATAAAAAGAAATGTTGTTGATAATAACTGAATAGAAGAGTGAAATATAGTTTTCATATGCACTGAAAATCTTCCTAGGATTTGTTCGGTGGTGTTTGAGGCGCCAACAGGCTAAAGCTAGCTACCTTCTGCTAATTTATTCACATTCAAAATATGACATTTTTACCAAAGTAGTCAACAGATATGATTCACGGAACATATCTGGAAGTGTTCCACTTGTTACTTCATAATATTGGCAAAAAAAAAAGCATATATGTGGCTATTGTAGCTGCATAGCAATAGCTTAAATGTTAGCATTCGTTAAATATTTATTGATAAAACGTAGCTGTTGCCCAACGAAGACGACCACAAAAACAACACACTAAATCTTAAATGTATGCTTGATAAATAAAATGAAAAGAGAAGCAGTGCTTTGCTGCTAATTGTCAACATTACCGCAAGGAGAGAACAAGGTTGGGGAAAAAGGAGTTTTTGCCGAGGGAGAGGGACGTGGTTCAGCTATGCTAGCTTGACTTTGACGGCCGTAACACGGAGATATGATGTGGGAACTCTGTGCTTTGGTTCAATGAAATGAAAATAAGACGACCCTCACGCCAATCCTGACAGATCGACAGTGGAGCAGGGGGTTAAATGAGCCAATCAGCCACCGCTGTGTTAGATTAGCTAACAGCAACAACAGCTAATCTACCATAGCGTACTATCATTGTCTGACTGTTCGGTTTCCTGGACGTTTCAAGTTACGTAAAACTGCAGGAGTCTCTCCGCTGATGTTGACCGAGCTGAGATGTCGTGTAGCTAGTGGTTAGCCGTGCTGGTAGAGGTGACCAGCATTGCCGGTTTGACCCATTAACGTCAGGAATCTGTAGACTCTGGGGTAAAATGGCAGCATATGGGGGGGAAACTACAGAAGAGCCCAGATTTCGGGATCAGACAGAAATCTAAAACAGTAATTACACAAAGCAATAGTTTAATGACATTTTCTCAATACTAAACTTGCAGACGGTGCAGTGTGAGCCTGGCTCATCAGAGAGAGGTGCAATAATTATCACAGGCACCTGTTATGGCACAGAAACAGGTGGAGCTCCAGCGTTTGTGATCTCACATCTCAACGGATATTATGGGGACGACGCGCACTCGTCTGTGTGCCGCTTCCATCTTTGTGCCAAGAGGCTAGGCGCGCGTGTGTGTGTGTTAGGTGCTGAGTTAAGCCTCTGATTGAGAAACAAGCCACAGTAGCAACATGCTTTGCTGATTCCCCCAGCATCTGTCTCAACCAGCATGGGGCTTCCATGCGTGAAGGAGGAGGCAGCTACCGAGAGACACCGTTCCTTCATCTCCGCTTCCTCTCCTCTCGCTATGGAGAATGAACATCTCTCTTTTACTCTCTCTCATGTCTTAGAGGAAGGCTTTCTGAAAATATTTTCTTGGTCTGCCTTGCAGTGGGACAGACCTGTCCTAGATTGGACCCTGTCTCTCACCCAATGACCACAGGGGAAAGGAACTAGGCTCCTTCAAGAGTAAGCCGGTACGGACAATGGATGGATAGTCAGTGTTGGGTCCCACAGCAACAAGACATACTTTTTTTTACCTGAAAAATGACAAAGCACACATAAATGAAATAAATCCCACTCATGATGACTAATGGTCTAAAACAGTGGCCCTCAAACGGCGGTCACATCCAGCCTAAGAGCCATCTGTTTCTGGACTCCCGGCCACCTACTCACTGTCTGCAGGTTGGCCAGATCCTGATCCAAAAAGCATTTGAGTTTTCCAGGTCTGACAAAAACCTGCAACTGGGAGCAGTTTTTTGATATGGCCAACATGGGCAATCACCCAGAGCGGTATCTTGAGGAGGGGTGGCATTATTCTGGTCTACACACCTCCATGGAGGTATGATTAATAGGGCTGATTTAATGCTTGTGTTTGGACTCAACTGTCATGTTGATGAGGCAGTTGGACCAAGTTTCAGCTGTCAGAAAGAAAGCCAAACAACTCCATAACTGCAACGTGAAAAGATTCTGTGGCTGCAAATCAATCTTCTGGATATTTGGTACAAGGTGTTTATGCTGATAGGTTTTCTCCGTAGTCGCTTTTCACTCTGTTTCACCACCGGATAGATACTAACGGAACTAAAGCGTTACTTCAGTCGTCGTTCCATCTTGGCTCTGATGGAACGACGAGGTCGACGGCCTTCTGAACTCTACCGAATCCTTCCAAGAAACTTTTTCAGGTGAGGCTACTCCCATCCCCTTCGATTCCGGCCCTGCGTGCCTCGTTGCTAACCGACGCAGAGCCGACGCCGAGGAATCCCGCGTTCAGGCAAGAGCTGAGCAAACAAACAATAGAGAGCTTGTGTCAAGAGAAAAGAGGCATATCATTAACACCAGAGATGTAACTGAAAGGAGCCAATCAACACCTGTTTTTTTACTGTTATCGCACTCACACATAGGGGAAAAAAAAAAAACTGTCAGAGCGTCCAATGTGACATTTTTACCATAAAATTCACAAAATGCCAAGCATTTAGAGCTCAGAGAATCTAAAGCTTGTGTGGTTTATTCCTGAGAGGCTGGTGTTGCTCGAGCAAAGCCGGGGCCTATACAAGGCAACAATAAGTCGGTGACTGTGGTTCTTCCAAGCGAGTCATCTCCAGCAGCCAGTCGAGCTATCATTATCTGTTAAAGAGCCTTCGTCCCTATGGATCATCATTACGAGGCGCATTAGAAAATACTTTGATTAAACTCCCCTAATCCAGCGCAGACAGCTGCAGTCCATTCACAGCTGCCTAATCTCCCAGCCACTAAATACCACCGAGACAATGGGCAACAAATGACAAGTTATGTGAAAGAGAAGGGGAGAGAAAACAAAGCGACGGAGAGACAGAGAGAGAGAGAACAGATAATTCCCTCCATCAAAGCAGAGCGGTAAACAGCGCTCATGCCAGGAGACGGCTGATGCTTTCTCAGGAGTGAAAAACGGGCGGCGGAGAAGGAGGGATTGAGGGAGAGCGAGGGGAGGAAGAGGAGAAGTGCGACGGAGGCGCGTCTCCCCCCGTCAAGACGCGAGATGAAATGTTGCGCGCGGAGGAGAGATCTCTTTCAGAGCGACTACAAACAAGGCGAGGCTGCTGATGGGAGATGCTGCAATCAAGATGAGAGGAAAGAGACAGAAAGAGAAGGGGGGAGAAAAAACCCCAGAAACTACTCCTCAATGGTACAAATCACCGCAGGGAGGTTATCAGGGCCGTCGGCAATCACTATAATGACAACATGGTGTGACATGATAGTTACAGCACTCATAGAAAATCATTCGCCCAGGCTGGGGAGGAGATAGGCAGGCGGGCAGCTTCATAAATACAAGTCTGGCTTGGAGAGTCACATTGTGTGTGTGTGTGTGTGTGTGTGTGTGTGTGTGCGTGCGTGTGTGTGGGGCTGCCCAGGTATTCAGAGTGACGAGTTTGTGAAGGATGAGCACGCGGTCTTGTTTGTTGTTTTCCTGCGGCTCTAAAATCTAGTTTTAAAATCAGATGTTGAACACACACACACACACACACACACACACACACACACACACACACACGAAAAAAAGAGACATGCTGCATAATGTAATCTGTCACAAGGGCCCCATTGATGCACAGCACACCGACTAAAGAGTCATTGCATTAATCAGCAGTCACAAACTCACCCTTCCACACGGACTCGGACCTGATTGCGTCAACTTTTAAAACGCCGACGCCGCACAGATCATCCGGAGCAACTTTCAGCGTTTCCGTCCCGAAACCTGGCGAACACATGAACGAGGCGTTAGCAACAGTTCTCAAATCGTCCCGCACAGTTTTGCTGATTCACTACTTTGTATCGTTTAAAAAATAAATAAATAAATGTTTTGCTTTTGTCCCATCGGTTATATTTTGACATTGTCCTCTCTGTGGATCCCTGGTGTCCCTCAGGGCTCTGTGTGTGTAACATGGATCATTTCTATCCGCACAGACTTGCAGGAAAGTGTTCTGCTAACACTACACAGCGACACCAACGAGCGATTTAGCGGATGCTAATGCTACATAGTTAACGTCAATTCAAATTCTTTTCACCCTTGGAAGACTTTGACCCTCAAACATAATTTACATGTCCAATAAAAGTTGTTGTTGCAAGAATAGAGAGAACAGGAGAAAGCAAAACTGCAGTCTTCAGCCTCTTCAAAATAAGAGCATCAATATAAATGTTAGGAACCAAAGCTTGGGCACAGATGTGGAACATCTGCTTTTCTTAAAGTTTATAGAACAAAGCAGTGATTTAGAATTTTAACTGGAAAATTTAATTGAGAGGAAGTTGAGTTCTTTTCTAAAGTTAGCAAAACTGCCTCGCTAAAAATTAGCTCCGCTATTAGCGAAAGAGAGCTAAAAGTTCTGACAGTTTTGCTGTGCAGACCACTGACAAACAGCGACACTGTCTTCTCGAAATGTCGCAAAAATCCATAGGTATGAATTGTTCTAATGATGGCAGCGAACACATAAAATCTCTGCATGGGAGGAAGATTGGGAGGTAAATGAAAGCGCCACCTGGACTGACCTGGTCACTGCATTTCTTAGCCGGAGCAAACATCATTAACATTTTTTCCCCCCCCCATCCCCGATGTGTGCAGCACTCTGGGTAATTTGCTGCGGTGCACCTGGATGAATCAAACATGGCCGCACGCTCTGGGTAATAACCAGACCCAATGAAGTGAGGAATATGAACACACGGCGCGCACGGCAACATTTCTTCCTCTTGCTGCATTGCTTCCTTCTATTCAGCCATAACCACCACTCCTCCTCCTCTTCCTCCTCTTCCTCTGCTCATCGCCCTCCCCCACCCCCTGCTCCTCTGATCTGCCTGTGAAGGTGTGCAGTGCAGCAGCGAGTGAGCCTGCATGTATTATTACCCATCCACCCTCTGTGTTTGTGGCGACTCGCCGTCCACTGTATTTGGACAGATGATTTGGAAACAAAGGAGGTCCAGGTTAATGCGGCTCAGCTTCGTGCGGGAGAGGCTGCCGGCAGGGGTCAGGGGTCGGCTGATGGGAAAATGCAAAGCCAGTGTCGGACTCGCGTCTCAGTGTGGCTGTGTGTGGGCAGCGTGGAGGTCAGGGTGGCAGCAAGAGTGAGTCATGGCAACCGCACAGGCCTACACAAACACACACACACACACAACTCGCTCCCAATAAGCTCACAAACAAGGTGCTGAAGGGCAGCATAGATTTTATTTACAGAAAATCAATTAAAAGCTGCTTTCAGCCCACAGGAATGAGGCAAAAAGAGAGAGAGAAAAGAAACATTCTCCCACATTACGTTTGAGTCTCAAGAAACAAACTTGGAGCGCTTGCAAGAGAGAAATAAAAGTGTGGCGGCTAAAAAAATGTTCTCAAATATGAGGTCAAAGAAAACGAAGGAAGAGAAACAACTGGAAGAGGAAGGAATCAGGGATCAAGTGCTAGTTAACTTAGATAAACTGTATTGAGGCAACTATACCGACAGATGATAGATGAATTATTACTTATGTTCAATCATAGCTTACATGTTATTTTCAGACCTAACACTAAACCCTAATTTAACCATTGGTGTTGATGTTGATTTATATAAAGACAAGAAATCAAAGAAAGGAAGGTTACAGTAGTGACAATCTGCTAACAGCATGTCTGAGATGGTAGGTGTCCATTGTGTCCATCAGAGAGACGATCTGGCGGACGCACAGTCTCTCCAGAAACGGTCCAGAAAATGCTAACCCAAGCAAACATGGGTTATACAATAAAACAACAACTTCTTCACCTTGAGCTGCTTTTCATCTCCAGTAAACTCACCAAAGTCACTCCGTCACGACAAGGAAAGAGAAGCAAGCTATGTTTTCCGTATTGGGGTCATTTACCATGCAATAAACAGAGCTACTCAGGCAGCGTAACCTCTGGTCACTTTGTCTCCTCCCCAACCCCCCCCCCCCCATTTCCAGAGCTGCCTGCAATCATGAAAATGATTCCCGTCGCCACAGTAGCCTCCGTCCAGCGGACTGCAGAAGTCTGAGGCAGCAGTAGTCAGAAGCTATTTACATAATAACAGCTCATCATTCAGAAAGGACCTTTTATTTGCAGCATTGGAGAAAACTGTCAGGATGTCACCCTGAGGAGGTCCTGAGCCCCACGCTGGGGGACGATGTGGCTCCAACTGGCGGGTGGGAGGACGACAAGGGCGGAGAGGGAAAGGAAACGGTCACGCAATGGTCCGACCGGACAAAGAAAAGAGCTCAAGTATGGAGGCTGGAAAGGTTTCGACAAGGCATTTGAAAATTGATGAAGTACAACATTTTGGCTTAGCTAACTTCAGCTAGGACGTCATTGCCTAGCTTAAGTTAGCTACACTTCAGCTAGACAACAAAATCTTGTTTATGATATTGTTCAGCAAATTCTCTTGGTCTATCAAGAACGATGCGGTAGAAGACCCCCAACCCCGGCCAAAAACTAAACCAACTAATCATCTCAACCACAAAGCTACTAGTAAACCGACCATTCAAACTGCTAAGATATTTACCCATACAACTGACCAAACAAATAATCTAAAAACACCCAACAACCAACCATCCAAATTACCGAACGAGCCAACCAACCAACAACTTATGTACCTACCAACCAACCAAGCAACAGACTGTCCAAATTCAAAAGTCTAAAGAACAAGGATTGTTTTTTCAAACTACTGAGGAGAAAAACTGGGCTTTGCTTTGGGGATACGTTTGCTCTTGGTTTCATCTGTGGATCCCAAATGCAAAGTTTTTGATTAACTTTCAGGATTTATCACTGGAAATAGGAACATGTCTAAAAGCCTAAGCCCTCCTGTAGCTCTAATGAATGTCTTACTTTCTAAACATGTTGCATTTTCTTGTTGTTGCTTAAAACTTGTAGGATTTTTTAAATTTTTTTTTCGAACAACGTTGTGTCTGTGCCCTCAGAACCTTCAGCGTATGACAGTGGCCAAATTTGACTAAATCCCTGTTTATGTGAAATCCGAGAGACGTCGATGTTGATTTTCCTCTTGTTTGAACAGGCAGGAAGCCAAAGCGCACACCGCCGTGAAGCACAATCTTCCTCTCTTCGCAACTTCCTGAACGTGTGACAGGATATCACCAGCAGCCACTCGACCCGGGAGCCGTTTCTCCTCATCTCTGCCGCTCCTCGTGGGCCTCTCAGCTTCCACTCCTTTTCCCTCAGACTCGCTCCTTCTGCGTCTCTTCCTACCCTCGTCGGCTCTCACATCATTTGACATCAAAGGGGCCGTGACAAGTCTCGCTGTTTACCCTCCCTAGCAGGCGCTCATTACAAAAACATCAAAATAAGCCGTGCAGAGAGGCAGGACGAATTAATGATCTCCCTGTGCCACCGGTGCCCTTCACCCCTCCCCTCTCTGCCGTCGTCACCCGAGCGGTGCCAGGCCATTTGATGCGGAACAAATGCACGTGGAGGCAAACGTGTAGCAGGAGACATATCACCGCACACCCACGCGTGCTTTAGTGCCAAGGCCTGTGGCTGCTAACGACCATTCAATTAGAGGACATTAGGGTGGCATTGTGAGGTCCATGCTGTGACCATTAGTAGCAGGAGAAGCGTGGGCCAAGATTAACCCCTCGGAAATGACAGTGAGGACCTGGCAGGTCACCGTCCAGTTGGGCGGAGGGAGAACGATGATGACAAAGCTGCGGATTGGGGAAAAAAAACCTGTCCTGAACTCGCCCTGCTTCATAATTACGAGGTCCGGCGCAACCTGAGCTGCGAAGATTGGGTTTTAAATCTTTCATTGCGTTATTAGCCGGTGCTACGTGGGCGCAGCCAGATCCAAACACTCATTAGACAAGCAGGTTGAAGCGGGAACCTCATTAGATCAAGTGATTTCATACACAAAAGCAGACCTGATTGTTAAATCAAAGCGCTTTGCCAATGCGTTGTGACACCACGCATACATCAGGTTGCTCCCAAACACATGGCTTTCTCCATGCATGTAATGCCGGATTTTTATTTTGAAATTAATTCCTAATCTAATCTATACAGCCCTATTAATAACTATTATAAAGCACTCCCCGGTCATGAATTAATCAGGGATTGGTAATTAGTGTAAAATTTGAATGCATGTTGTAAACCCACATCAAGTGTCTGGCACTAGACGGAGGTGCCAAGCCATCGCTGTACTAATTAGTTTGCAATTATGTTTAATAAGTTCTGTGGAAGCCAATCATGTTGCAGTAGGGGAGCTGGGCTCTTCTGATACAGACACTGTGGAACCGACGTGGAGGAGCGTCTTTACATCCACTTCCTCACATGTGCTTCCGCGAACGGCAACTTCGTCTCGCTCCGCCCAACATCTGGAACATCTGGGCTCTTCCTCTTCAATCTGCCAGATAAACACACTGCCGGGGTGTTCCAGTGTCTCTCCTGGAACTCGGTGGTTAAATAATCCAAACGCCGGCGCTAATTCCAAGACGTTTCGCAATACAAAATTCATCTTCGGGAAGGTGAATTGTTTTTAGCCAGTCAGGAAATCCTGGAAGCCATCAGACGCTGCAGGAGACTCGAGACGTTCACCTTTTACCAAGAGTCCAGTAACACTTTGGTGATAATGTTCAGCTCTCTTGGTACATAACAGAAATTAAGACTTCAACATCTTGGATGTTCAATGAGGAAACTCCCGTATTGCTCAGTTTTCTCTTGCCACTGCATTGGTTCAGTCTGGGTTAAGAATTTGGGAAATTGATTTGTACTGAGTCATC